TGCGCGGAGCGGGAAGGGCCCCTGTGCAAGCTGAGGCCCGAGAGCGCTGGCTGCGCGGCGCGACCTGGGCACGGCTTTGCTGAGAGCACCGAAAGCGTCCGAGCCCTCGAGCGCTGGCTTTTTCCTTGAAGTATCTCACCTGCGTGCTTCTGCATCGCCTGTGGCCCTGGGAGGCGTCAGGAGGCCCGAGACCAGCCAGAGCACCCTTGTGTCCTCCCCAGGAAAGTAATAATGAAAGGCCTGGTGTGGGAGGCTGAAGCAGGAGAATCCCACATTCCAGCCTAGCCAGCAATATAGGGATTTAGACTCTCAATCTACCACTCCCTCCCAAAAATTCATCTATTTCCTTTTTTTTTTTTTTTTTTTTTTGGAGACAGGGTCTTACTATGTAGTGAGACTGACGTGGCTCAGGCTGGTCTCGAACTCAGAGATCCTCCTGCCTCAGCCTCCCAAGTGCTGGAATTACCGGCATTCACCACCACGCCTGACTTCATCTATTTCCTTTTAAAAAACATGTCTGCTCTCCTAAAATGTTTATTTTTCCTAATTTTTTCTAAAATTTTGCTGAAATTCTTTTATAACAAGAGGAAATGTTTTTTGTTTTTTGAAACAGGGCATTTCTGTGTAGTTCAGGCTGGCCTTGAACTTGCAGTGATCCTCAACCTCCCAAGTGCTGGGATCAGTGTGAACCACTATGCCCAGCTGACAAGAGGAAATTTATAATATTCATAGAAAGGTAGGATGATTTCTGTAGTGAACATGTAACCCAAAGGCAAAGATAGATAAGGAATGTAACCCCTAGTAGAGTGAAATGTTTGAAGTGATTAAGGAATGTTTAAAGCGATTAAAATAAGGTGATGACGTATTGCACAAGATATGACACCATCGAACATGTGCTTAGGCGTAGACCTAGATAGCCCAATATGCATGTACTAGATATAGAGATGGAAAGAGTATAAAAAGACCACAGAGCAGAAGCCACAGGGCAGAAGGAAGACTTCTCGCCACAGCCATGTAGCAGAGACGCTGTCGGACGGACTTCCCGTTGCAGACCTCGGAACCGAAACTAGACCACGAGACAGCGTGCCGAGAATCTAAGTCGCAGCTCGACCCTGCTCGCCGCCAGAACAGCAACCTCGCCACGAACTCAGGTCGTATACCATCTTATGAATATGTTAGATCAGCTTACGGGCAATAGCCTGCTGCCTGCTATTATAGGCCGTACATGTTTATACATCTTGATTGTACTAGTGCTATATTATATTGCTATAACATCGTTAAGACAATATGTCTACCCTATGAGAAATGAATCTGACATTAAATGCAATGCTGAACCTGAAATGCCATTAGTCTTCTTTACTCCCCCCGGGATCCCGAATGTAAAATCGGTGCTCGCGACAGTTGGCGTAGTCGGCAGGATCCCGGTGTGAAAAGAAGTAAAAGGAGAAATTTTAAACAGTATAAGAAAGGAAACCAATCTTTTATTAACAGAAATCAACCTTTTGTTGTGCTTTCCAATCACCAGCAATTACCATACTCCACGATGCCAACTCGGACTCCAGTCCGAGGAAGAGCGGGT